ATTTTAAACTTGACATGTACAATACGCAAATTAAGTTCACATTATATAACAGTGACATTGTTATTAAATAATATATATAATGAAGTTACTATATTTAAGGTTGCATATTTTAAAATTAGACCGGACAATAAATAAAAACTGTTGATATATTTATGCCTCAAAATTCGCCTTTCGTGTTTTGCATTCAAAATTATTAATGGAACAACATGAAACTTTCATATTATAATCGAATTCGAATTGTACCTGTATATAATAACTAATAACCCGTCAATACGGTCAAGTTTACATGTCTTAGGTTTTTATTTATGAAGACAATAAAGGCGGGTTTTCACTGAGTCGTCACGACAGACCGACGTACAGTTCAGTGCTTTAAGACTTAAGTTATTGCGAAATAAATGCTAATATATGGATAGTCCTCGGTTTGAACGTGTTAATGAAGTAGGAAGGGAATGAGTCCTCCAAACTTGCAATGCCTTAGGACTACAAAATGACTAAACACGACCCTGTGTACACGGATACAAACACACAAACTAACTCTACGATTCGTCTAAAGATTGTCTTGCAAATTCATCTTTTAGCTACAAGTATACTAATAATATAGCTGCAGCATGGCTCTACCACGTAAAAAATAGTAGTATATCTTGAAATGTAAAAATGTGTGATTTTGATGATTGTTTTTAAGTTTACGATTAAGTTAATAAAAGCAAAGTTATGTTGTGTAAAGCTGTAAAGGTGATTAATTAAACTATGAACGTATAATAAAGAAGGAAGTTTATTTAACCAATTACATTAACAAGCTTAATGCCAGTTACCATTTTCTGCTAGTCAACCCATGGCGTGGTAAAAAATCTTGTCAGGTGTTTATAACTAAATTTTATTAGAAAGAAAGGCTTATAAATCATACAAATACATAGGAACACAAATAAATATGTACATAATTATCCTTATAATATACGAATGATGGAATGCCTCATTTCCAGTAAAAAGGGTCTCCGGTTCTCTACACTCACCATACTATTTTACGCTGGTACTCTGTGTGAACGTAGTCCTACCCCTGTCGAACCGATCCAGTTTTTTCCCGATACAGAACTGTCTTTCATTTTTTCAGGGGAAATCAGCGCACACAAAAATAATCGCCTGTCACTATGAAACTCATACATAACAATTAAATCAATAAACTAACAATTAATATATTGATACAACATTTTAACAATATTGATTGTTGACAGGGACAACTAGGATCTGTCGCTCGAACGATCTACACATTGTAGATCGTTCGAGCGGGCGAGCGTCGTGTGTTGGTAAGCAAATTTGAAACAACAAGACCGTTATTATTGGAAATTTTATGTTTAAAAAAAAGTAAATAGCAATAATGTGATTAAAAATTACTTAAATATGTGAAAGGTAACGCCATCTTTTTGTAAATTTGTTGTGACAGATCTCTTTTTACAGCAAAAAAAGTGAACAATTCGGCAATTTTGTAAGACGTCAATTTAAACGAGCATCTAGATTTAGTCTAATGAGGAGTGCGGCTGCAACTAATTTTATTTAACGCATAAGACCGCTTGGACTTATACTTTGACAGATGGGAATGCCTTCGTATGGCTACTCCCCTCCCCCCCCTGATCCGCAAGTGCCTCGTGTTGCTTTATGGTAGAAAGTACCCATTGATATTATATAGACGCCGTTATTTTCAAAAGATGTTCCCGAACCAGTCTTTTGAAGGCTACCTTACTTGATGCTTTTCTAATGTCTTCAGGTAAGGATTTGCAGAGTAGTGTACCATGAACATTAAAAGAATTGCCAATAAAGCCAGTAAAATGGGATGGAACTGAAACAATAATAGTACATAATAGTCGTGGGAATTTACGCAAGGTCTCCCTTTACGCGTCGACAAGCCGAAAAGTAAATAGGAACTATGGCTAGGAGTGGAATGTCGTCAAGTACTTATATGATGGTAGTCCTTCTTTTCTGGCTAGGAGTCCATCCGGGTAGGTTAGGTTACCTCTTAGTAAGAGGCTCTTACCTATTTCTACCGATAATATCAATAACGGCACCGATGTGTTCTGGTCTGAAAGGTATAGAGAGCCATTATAATAACAGCTGTGAGGCATTTCATTTGACTATTCAAAGATTCTCTCTGATCTGATTGAAGTAGGCTGCAAGTCTATGGGCTATTATCGCTTAAATAATGGTTTGAACGTAGATACAGGATTGATAAGATACAAAGTCTATGGGTTTGAAGTGTATTTTGATACTTTAAAGTACTTAGTGAGATTTAGTGTATTTAATGTTTACGCATATGAACTAATATTGTAAACGATGCACTTATCAATCACTTCGATAATGATATAATAGGTATTTACCTATGATATTGCCGTTCTGCAGTACTAGCCATTTCAAATCAAAATAAATTCTAATTTCAAATTTATTTTATTTTATAAAACATAGAATTCGTTTTTGCAAAATTAGTCATTTGTTTATAAATTAGCGTTATGTTTTCATCGCATTTGAATCATTTTCGTCATCATAGATACGTTAAAAATTCGAGTATATATGGAATATGACGATCAACGACGTTTACGAAGCAAATACTACAAACGAACGCACCACCTGTTATTGGTTTGCAGGCTTCCGTTCTGGAAATATCCGTAGTCGTCCGAAAACTTTGGTCGGCAATGATGAATTAAAGACGATTGTGGAAGTTGATGATACTCAATCTACAGCTTAATTAGCAGCGGCTTTCAACATTAGCATCAAAATAATATTGGTCCATTTGCGTCAAATTGGCAAGGTGAAAAAAGCTTGAGAAATGAGTGCCCCACGAACTCAATGATGGCCAGCGTGAAGTACGCGTCGAGACATGCCTTGCACTGCTCAACAGGCACACAAAGGAAGGAATTTTGAGTCATATTGTTACTTGCGACGAAACATGGATTCTGTTTGACAATCACAAGCGCTCAGAAAGTTAGTTGGATCCTGGTTCAGCACCTAAACTATGCCCTAAAGGAAAACGTACATTTAGAAAAGTGATGGTCACTGGTTAGTGGTCTACCGCCTGTGTGATTCATCACAGCTTCTTACCAAACTGGAAGATAATTACTGCAGACGTGTACTGTGAAAAAAATGAAGGAGAAGCTCGCACTTCTCCAACCAGCTTTGATCAATCGCTCGTCCCCGCTGCTTCTGCACGACAACGTGCTTCCTCGTTGTGTACAACAGACGGGTTTCAAGTTACAAAAGCTGGGGTTGAAAGTTTTCCGTCATCCGTCATACTCACCAGACCATGTGCCTACATACTACATAGAATTTGGATAACTTTTTAGCGGGGAAAATTTCAATACCCGAGAGGCAGGACAAATTGCCTTTGAGGAATTTGTTGCCTCACGTCCTACTGATTACTCCAAAAAGGGCATCAATAAACTGCCACTGCGTTGGCAAAGATGCATCGATTGCTTTGTCGATTACTTTGATTATTTGAAATAAATAATATTTAAAAAAAAAACTAACCTATATCTCAGGATCTTTCTCCGTTTACATACCTTCAAATAGTAATTAATTGTCCGATGGGTTAAGTTGTCGTCATGACTTTTGCCTACCTTAATTGGCGAATCGTAACAACTGACGCCAGTGTTGCCAGATGTACGATATAAATCGTATTCATACGATTTTTTAAGAGTTATATGCATGTACGATCGAAACATAAAAATCGTACGCAATTCATACGACTTTTCACATTTTCTAAAAATATAACCGTATTAACTACTTAACCATTACCTACATCACTATATTTTTATGCGATAATAATCAAATCACTAGAAGGGGATTTCACCGGCATTAAATATAAATCAAACTCGACCAATTTACGAATCGCTATATTTTGTATGTGACAGTTACCACATCGATATATATAGTAGGGGATTTCCCTTACGTTAAAATATTAATCAAATTAGACAGATTTAAGAATCACTTCTATTTTTTGTTTTTTATATAAATGAATTAGTGAATACAATAGTATACGTAACTGGGCGGTATTACATAATATTGGTAAGCATGCGTTTTTTTTGTTTACTTTTCTTCACAGATCTTTTCTCGTCGTTCTTGAGAACAGTTATCAACAGTTTGATACTTGTTTCATAGCACGTATTTGATTGAAAATATCAATAGTTTCTTGTTTATTATGAAGGACCTACATCTAACAGCAGGGCCGAGTCGCCCTAGTCCTATTAGTTTATATTGAGATAAAGACTAATAATTTTGAGTTCTTATTTTTCAATTTTAGTGTAATTTAAAAAAAACAAAGTTTTTAAAAAAATTATGTACTATTTTTATTTAATGACCTTCTTAAGGAATACGACTATTTATTTACTCATCGAACGATCGTTCATTCAAAATGTCTGGCAAAACTAACTGACGCTGTCATCTGTTTCGTTGGAGTTTTGGCGGGAAGTTGTCCGGCGGCGGTGTGCTGCTCCCGTATTATAGTTTAAATAATAGTTTGAAGTGGAATTTGATATGTAAAAGTGGTGCGATTTTATGTATAACTGTCTACGCATGTGAACTATTAGTGGAAACGGTGAAACAAGTGCTCTGATGGTGATGGATTCTCAAGATAAGCTGTTTGTCTGCATAAGCGCCTTTAGATACCATCGCCAACTGTCAGCTGTCTGCTGGCTCAACTCAAGTTGCCGTCAAAATCTCCCAAGGGCTGCACAATGTGACGCAGCGACATATGGTGAAGCAATGAACTATGAAGGAATATCCAAAATAAAAAAGACAAGGCTGTATGGCTTAGTTCCCTTGCCTGCTCTCTCGAGCGAATAATAAAAATAACAACAATCAATTATCAAACAATATATTGTTAATTTGTTATGACTTGACAATATTTATTAATTACCACAGAATACTTTTATATATACTGAAAACCAATTGCCATTTACCACAAACACAAACTTTTATCAGTACCTTAAGAATAAAATTGAACGTCCATTGTAACTGTAATGGCTGATTACTTCCAAGAAATGGGATGGAATGAGCTAGGAGAAGGAGAGCAACCTAACCACATGCTCCATATGGCTAGATTTCTAATTGACTTTGGTTTTGATAATGATAATCCCAATATTGCATGGCCTAGGTTAGTAACATTTTATTTCCAACTTTATTAATTTTATATTATTATTATTTGGCTATATTTCTAATGTTTGTCACAATGTCATATTTAATATATTTATTTTATTTATAGTTTGCCACCACCTGCCTCAAAACAAGTTGTTAAAGATTTACCTGAAATTACAATTGACAATGATGGTCAAAATTGTCCAATATGTCTTAAAGAATTTAAGGCAAAAGAAAAAGTCAAGAAAATGCCCTGTGAACATTTCTTTCATCGAACATGTATATTAACTTGGTTAAATAAGGTAAGTTTATTTTATGTCTTATAGTTTTTCATATAACCATCAAAAACCATTTGAGTTTCAGTTTTTTTATTGAAATCCTCCATGTTTTTCTGATAAATATATTTGCTGCACTTGTTCATGAAGTTTCATTATGATCATTTCAGCCATTCTAAAGATTAGCCCATACAAACAAAGACAAAAAAAGGGTTAACCATATCTTATTAGTATGCAAATAACCCCCTGATCTTAAAAGAAGACCCTTAATTTGATATTACAGATTGACACTTGAATTTTATTTATATGCACAGATGTACTTACAGATTTAAAAATATAAGTAAATATAGCAATGAAACATTTCTGAATAGTAACAAGAATAATCAATCAACATAATCACTAACAGTCAATTTATTGTAACAGAAACCACTACAATTTCTTTACTCTTATATGTTTAAATGAAGTGAAATTACCTTATCATGTTCTGTATAGGTTAACCCCGCAGGCAGGTACTAGTGGGAGGCACCTTGGCCACTCACAAAAAAATAAAATAAAAAATATGTCTGCAGCAGTCTGGCAAATTTTTTTTAAAGGTATGAAATTTGATGCCTTCGTTAACATTATCATGTACTATGGATATAAATTTGTTCATAACTAATTGATTTTCTCTGTAAATAACCGTGAATGATCGCTTTTTTTAATTCTTAAAAATAAAAATTAGAATTTTCAATTTTACAATTGTGGCCGTAAGATCTCCCACTGGACAAGGTGTTCTGCCAGAGGAGCGGCCTATGCTCCGAGTGGTAGTTCGGAGCTATTCTATATAAATATACTATTTTTACTTTGGAACTTTGATAGCACAATTTAGGCTTCAATGTATTTTACTTTTGGAGTGACAAAAGCGCCGCAACATCACCTCCCTGCTCAGACGGGAGGTTGATTGTGCAGTCTAGATGTCGACGAATGTGCAAGTGCCAGGGAATTGCTTTGTAGTCTGTCACACATTGACAGTTTGAGCACCTGTGGTACAAAAAATTATGTTGATGAGAGTGAACAATAGCTTAAAAACATGCCTACTTCTAAAACGGTAATAAATTCAATTTCTTTGTGATCAAATTACTTAGTTATTGCTGCCTATATATCTCTAGTTTTATTTTTGTTGAAATAGCAGTACATCTTAAAATAGTAGTAGTACATCTGTATAAGTGTTTCTATTGAGTATTTGGGAAAATTCTATATCGGTTTCATTATCATCATCATCATCATTACAGCCCTTCACAAGTCCACTGCAAAGCATGGTCCTGAGCCACCTGCATCCATCGACTCCCTGCATATCTTACCAGGTCGTCACTCCATCTAGTGGGGGGACGCCCAACACTTCACCTGCTGGTACGAGGCTGCCACTCGAGAACCTTTCTTCCCCATCGGCTGTCGGTTCTTCGAGCTATATGGCCGGCCCATTGCCACTTCAGCTTACTAATCCGTTGGGCTATGTCGGTCACTCTGGTTCTACTGCGGATATCCTCATTTCTGAGTTTATCACGCAGAGAAACTCCGAGCATAGCCCTCTCCATAGCTCGCTGAGCGACCTTGAGCTTCCTCATCCGGCCAGCAATGAAGGACCACGTCTCAGTTCCGTATATAATCTCTGGCAACACACTGGTTGTACAGTCTCGTATATCGGTTTATTATATTATAATAAATGTTCAAATTATATGAACAACCTTTTTAATAGCCACAAATACCTATGCTCTTCAATTTCTCGAGCCACATCCAAAACACGTAGACGCAGTTCTTGTATTGTTGCTATTGGTTTTTAGTAGACCTTTTCTTTTGAGCAGCCCCAATGAAAAAAGTCTAGTGGGTTTAGAATGGGCGATGGTGGTGGCACCAAAATAGGTTGATCAATCTGTTAGGATAGAGCTTGTTCAGGTACTCCCTTACGGGCGTAGCGTAATGTGCTGGGCATCTATCGTTTTGCAGACACATACTGTGATGGACCACCACAGGCATCTCTTCTAAGAGGTCAGGAAAATAATTTTGTAAAAAATTCAAATACCAGTGTATTCCATTTAAGGTTTCTTGGCAATTTGAATGGGCCTATACTTTGGCCATTTAATATTCCAATCCAATAATTAATTTTAAACTGGTATTGGAATCTAACCTCACGCATAATGTGGGGATTAGCTACTTGCCAACTATAGAGATTAGAGATTGTGTATTTTTTTTGACCGATGATTCGTTGCTCCATATTATTTTGTTGAATATCGAAAACTTCCAATCTGCCTCAATTTTGCTCAGCATTTAGTGACAAAAATTTAATCTTGCAGCGTCCCTTGGATCCAAAGTTTGTACACAGATAATGTGGAAGGGTGAAATTTGGGTTTCTTTAAAATACTATGTACTGTTGACTTATTAATGCCTTCCTGTCTTGCTATTGCCCTAGTTGAAATGGAAGAATCTTCCTCAATAGCATTGAAAACAAAATCCCCATTGTCACTTCTCTGTAGTCTTCCTTCGCCGAAACTACCGACACCATGTCCAAGCATTCTTTCTTTTGAGAAGGCGTTGTGCATTTTAATAAACACGCGATAGTCAGGGAGCCGCACATTTGGGTATTTCTCCTTATAAAGTACCGCAGCTGCATTGGCATTGCTGTCACACTTCCCATAAATTAAATGCATACTCCTGAGTATTTTAAGCTGGCATATTTGGCGGGAAAGGCATTTCAGTATCGTCTTGATACTTCCAACAACAATACAATCATAGTGCACAAAACAATAAGTCTAGTTATCTAGTAGAATATTGAGTCATTGTAAATATCACCAAATAACAGTCCAATCGTTATCTAGAATATAAATAGTCTAATAGCAATGCCGAGTGGTCTTAAAACGAAGATAAGCTCTAAGAACCGAAATAAGCACATCTGATATCGAGAATATCGAAACACGGGCTAAATAAAAATCAAGAAACTTAAGAAAGCTACCTTTACATCTATCCCCCTTACTCTATTGTTTATCTGTATTACAGAAGAAACCCGTTGATCGTCAGCTACCTAAGCTTACGTTTCCAAACTCCCGTCAATAGTTGAAGATAATTAGTAACTCGAAATGGAAATGTAATTTATCATAATATAGTGATTTTTGTAACTTTAATGAATATTAAACTTTGTGAAAATCATCCTTCCGGAATATAAATAGCAATAACTCAGTAATTTCACAACAAAAATTGAGTTTATTACCATTTTAGAATCTGCATGAAGTAGCCATGTTTTTAAGCTGTTAGCCACCCTGGTCACTATAGGTTTTCTTTTATACCAAAGGTGCTCAAACTTCATCATTGTAAAATCGAAAATTCTAATTTTTATTTTTAAGTATTTAAAGAAATAACAGTAACAGCTAGAAATATTTTGTAATGCGCAATGGCAAAGCTAAACATTCATGGTTATTCCTAGATAAAATCAATTGGTTATTGATGAATTTGTAGCCATAGTACTCAATAATGTGACTAGGTATCTAATTTCATACTTTAAAAAAATTGCTGCAGGTATATATTTTATTTTTATTACATTACCATAGCATTAATATCAGACTTTGGTTTCTACCACAAGAAAGACGTTTTTTTAATACGAAATCAAAGGTATATTAAATCAGTCTTCTAATCAAATTAATTTCAATATTCCTCCAGAATTCCAGAACTAACTACAATTTATCAGATTTTGGTTTCTACCAAGAGAAAGATGATTTTTTTTACGAAGTCAAAGAAGATATATTACAATCAGTCTTTTAATCAAATTAATCTCAATAAAAATATCAATGTTACTACTCTCAGTTCCGGAATTGTGAATTATATATGGAAAAAATTGTTCCCTAATTCCAGAGTTCGATAATTCTACAATTTCAAATAAAGATAGTTTTTCAAATTACACTTTCTACTTTTTTTTGGAAAGGCTACTTACATTTTAAGTTTTTTGCATTAAACGCGTATGTGGCAAAATGATTAGAATTTATTCACCAAATTTATTGATTTATATGCATGTTTGTGTGTAATGTATAAATATGTTTATATTGTTATGTATTTATTGTTATTTATCTATATTTTCAGACAAATTCATGCCCCTTTTGCCGCTTAGAGCTGCCAACAGATGACGAACGTTATGAAACATTTAAAAAAGAAAAGAAACGGGCGAAACAGAGGGTGGAAGATTTAGAAATACTTCATAGTTCAATGTTTAGTTGAATGATAAGTTTTGTATTTACTTTCTCCATATTCACATTCCTGCAATTTTGAAAATGGTACTGGTTTTAAAAAGATAGTGTTTAATACTTTGTTTATTATGTGTTAAAAGTTACATATTATACTAACAATTATATACGTGGATGTGGGTTCTAGGTAGGGAAATTGACTTTAAAAAAATGCAATGCATGCTTTGTACTTTATAATTGTATACATGATGATAATTCAGTGCAGCAATGACAAGCACAACACTTCAGATGAGGACTGTACAAAGGGATTTTCTTTGTTTTTTTTTTATAGAATTATATAGTATAGTATCTTTGTTTAAATAATTTGGCGTCTTGAGATACTATCGTCATCAACTGTTTGCTGGCTCAAGAAAATCTCCCAAAGAAAACTTTGCAATATGACACTTCAACATATTGTGAAGAAGTTTTAAGCAAATTACTTTAAAGCATAATTTCTTATTACTTGGCACTGGCCAAAGTACAACCTTATAAGTCCATATTTAAATTATGAAATTAGTATAGGGTAGACTGGGGACACTTGATCCCCCCTTTTGTTTTTCAACCATCATTTCCGTGATATAGATCAGATTTTAAATATGTTGGTACTAAAATAAGTGGAATTTATTTGCCTATACTATCTGTGATAGCCAATGATATCAGTGTATAAATTTAGTTATTATCAATATTCGTCCAACGTATCTATGCACGAGATTCTTTTGCGAGATCATATGGTCAGTAACGTAGGAGTTTAACCACTCACAAAAAATAAGTATAGAAAAGAAACTATTCATTTTATTAAACTTCTTCAAAGTCATTAATCAACATTGTTTACTCTATATTACGTACGAATCATCCTCTACACCTGCGCAAGTGCAGTGTGCCCGTAGACGACATTTTGGACATTGCACCCAACCTCTACTTGGTTCTGAGTACAAATAAAAACAGTACAGACACTCAGCGTCTTCATTGTCAGACGAACTATCTGTTTTCCTAGTTTTTAATCTTTTTATATCAGATTTCTTGCTTGTCCTCTCTTTTTTTGAAATCTTACTTATCTTTGATTCAAAAATAATAGCTGTAAAACTGTTGGTTCACCAGCATTCTTTGTTGATGTGGAAGTCATGGCAGGTTGGTTGTCAATTTGGCTAGCATTTAAAATAGACGGTAATGACACCCTTTGGGGCTCGTCAATATCCATGATGGTAGGTGTAGTGGATGTTGAAATATTTTCATCATGGTTTGATCCCTCGTGAGCCCTTGATGTTGAGAGCTGATTTTCTCTTGATGTTGAGGGCTGAGGATCTTGGACTCTTGAAAATGGATCTGTCGAAGAATACGGGTTCGAACATGGACACGGTAGCTTGATGTCAATGGCTGCTTCTGCTGACTGTATTACTATTATATTAAAAAACTCATTTGTCCATACTCACAGTCTATACTTTGTAAAAGTGCAATATATTGTTGTGACAAGTGATAAATACTTTTTTATTTCTAAAAATTGTCAATGGTGTTAGGTTTTTATTTATTATACTCTTACTTTGTTTATTATTAAAAAAAAAATGATTTTTTACAATCTATTATTTTGCTTATTAATTTAAATGTAAATGAAAATAATTAAAATAATTTTATATGTGGTAGAACTATGTTGCAGCTATATTAATTGTATAGTTGTAGCACGAATGGGTCGGCTCGATCGGGGAAGGACCACGCTCTCACAGAATACCAGCGTAAAATAACAGGTTAATGCTCCTGTGTTTTATATGGTGAGTGTAGAGAACCGGAAATCCTTTTTACTGCAAAAGAGGCATTCCATCTTAGTCCTCTCGGGTGACAACGCATCTGCATTTTGATTCGTAATCTAGGATAGATGTCTATGGGCCACAGCAACCACTTATCATCAAGTGGACAGTGTACTCACTTTTCACCCTTATCCTATAAAAAAAACCTTAAATTAAAAATTGATTTTAAATTTTTATGAAGTTATGTTCCTAAAACAATATGCCCAGGACGCAATGCATTGTTGTCTTTATTGTTAAGTGCAAAGAATATAGTAATAACACAGGATTTATTGGTAGAGCCATACTAGTTGCAGCACGAATGGGTCGGCTCGACTAGGGAAGAAGCACGCTCTCACAGAATACCAATGTGAAACAGCAGAATAATCCTGCTAATTCATATAGTGAGGGTGGAGAACCTGTGCTTCATATGGTGAGTGTAGGGTACCTGTGTTTTATATAGCGGGTGTCGAAGATTTTGTCTACTAGTAACGAGGAATTCATCTCAGTCCTCAGGGATGACAACGCATTTGTATTTTGGTTCTTAATCGAGGATAGATGTAGACCTCTATGGACCACAGCATTCACTAACCATCAGGTGGACCGTGTTCGCTTGTCACCCTTATAAAAAACAAAAGGGTCTAATTTGCGCTTAACATCGGCTTGGTGGTAGCTCAGATAGTTAGCGCTCGCTGTAAGTTTCACAGTACCCGAGCAACTCGAGTTCGATCCCCGCCGGTACCAATGAAGTTGTTAGTTACAATTTTAAGTGCTGATTTACCACGTGATCGGTGGTGAAGGAAAACATCGCGAGGAAATCTGCATGTCTGAGAAATAAAAAATATATCTCGAAGACATGTGAAATTCGCCAACACGCATTGGGGCAGCGCCGCGGACATTTCCTTGCCCTAAAAACCCTCTCAGAAATGAGAGGAGGCTTGTGCCCAGCAGTGGGACGTATATAGTCTGCAACTTTTATCGGCTCGGTAAGTCGTACATATGTTTTTTTCTGTCCCGCTGTAGGAAGGAGTTGTCTTATACGTCACGCTTGGAAGGCAGAATGGCAATTGCAGTACCGGACAGCTTGCACTTAGGACGCTGCTGCCCGTCGTCTGGAAATTATATCTCTGGCACAAACGAGATGGTGTTCATATAGATACAGCCATCTGCCACTAGCTATAATATTTTTCTTACAATTTCCTTAGTTGCCTTTTGCCGTCTACGGAAGAATTCGCTTACGCTGCCACCACACAACTTATAAGTTAATAGTAGACCGCTGCATCTTCAACCCGTTACAATCTACAGGTTAATGTTTGGCACAATCATTACACTGGACAGGTATATTGATGAACCCAGGATTACATGCCTCGCACTTTTTGACATTCTAATATATTCACTCATTCATCATTGTAGAAGCGTGCTCGTCACGACCCCTGCCAGCCCTTTTCAGGGCTGCAATTCTACACACCCATGCCAACGAGGGTTAGGGCGTCCCCCCAAGGCGACGCACACCAGCTCGTCCCCGTTGGTGTGAAATGCAGCGCACAAAGCGGCGATGGGGACCGCCACCCGTCACGCACAGCCCGACACGGCGGAAGGTGGAGGACAGAGTGCAGAGTTGGCACGTGGAATGTTAGAGGAGGCATGAGAGATAAGACGAATGAGCTGATCGAAATAATGAAAGAAAGAGAATTAGATGTCGTGTGTATGTCGGAGACCAAGCGGAAGGGCAGTGGTACTGAAGAGCTCCCTGGCGGGGCGTTAGCTCTATGGTCCGGAGTCCCGGAGAGCGAGAGCGCCTGCCAGGGAGTAGGGGTGCTGCTGTCGTCTCCATTGGTCGCGGTTGTGGCTGAATATAAGGTTGTGAACTCAAGATTTCTCTGGGTTCGTTTTAAATTGGGACTGACAAAGTTATTCCTTTTGGCTGTTTATGCGCCGGTAGCTTCGTCGTCCAGGGCTGAGCTGGAGGAGTTTTGGGAGAATGTAAGAGAAGTTCTAGATTTAGTTAGAGGACACGAAAGAATTGTTGTATGTGGTGATTTGAATGGATGGGTTGGTATCGCCCGACCAGGGTACGAGTCGGTGCTTGGAAAGTTTGGCGATAAAAGGGTTAATGATGCTGGCAAGCTTATACTGGCTGTATGCAAGGAAAAGGGTCTTCTTGTGACAAACACTATGTTTAATCACAAGAAAATCCATATGTATACTAGAGAGAGAACGAATGAGAGAAGTATGATCGATTTGTTCCTGGTGGATGACCGACTGCGAAAACAGGTGATGGATACGCGAGTGTTCAGGGGTGCTGACCTGGGATCGGATCACTATCTTGTGATTACTAGATTTAGGGGTCTGTTCGCGGGTTGGCGCTACCGGACGGCAGTGATAGAACCACAGTCGGTCTGTCGTAGCCGAAGCTGGAAGCTTCAGGAAGCGGATACTAGGGACAAATATCATGCGAGGGTAGCCGAAAAGCTTGACACCATCGATGGCAGAAAAGAATGTGTGGAAAGAACATGGCAGAACCTTAGGGATAGAATGGTAAGTGCAGCGGAAGAAGTGTGTGGAACGATAAAAAGAGGTAGTAGTAAAAGAAGAGATGCATGGTGGAATGATGAAGAAGGCATGGTTAGACTACTTGGCCTCTAGTAATGATAAGGATATGAGAGAGAAGATGAAAGAAAGATATAAGCTGCAGAAAGTTCATACGAAAATATTGATTGAGGAAGTGCGTGAAAGGTGTAGAATGGAAGCGGATGAAAGGTTGTCGCACAACTTTAAGGAGAACTCCAAACTCTTCTGGAAAGAGGTTGGAAGGACCCGAAGTGGTGCGACGGCCTTAAGAATGAACAAAGTGCTTTCGAGAACCAATGACGTCCTCTCAAAAAGATCGGACGTCATGCAGCGATGGAGCGAATTTTATAGAGAAATGTATGCGTGTGATGATCTTAGTGAGGGATCCGGGGGTGACGCCGTGACTGGTACGCCAGACTGGGACCTCAATAACACTGAGGTCATCAGTATGAAAGAGATTGAACGTGCGATTCGAAGTTTGAAATGTGGTAAGGCTGCGGGACTAGACAGAGTTACTGCTGAAATGGTCAAGTATGGTGGGCCTCGCGTCTGGGACAGTTTTCATCTGCTGTGCAATTTGTGCTGGCGGACGGGGGATGTCCCGGATGATTGGCGATCCGCGGTCATTGTGCCTTTATATAAAGGTAAA